TATATATATATATATATATATAGGGAAGAAAAATCTGACATGGCATCTCTCACAATTTAGGGTTCTTATTTATTTTTTTTCTCAATTTTTTGATTTTCTTTACCTATTTTTTTATTTTATTTATATCCTGTGTTAAATAATTCAAAAGTCACCTCCTTAAAGAAAATATATAACTGCTCAAAAGGAAAAGATGTAACTGCCCGTTTATAGTGCATTCATTCATCATTTTAACTTTCAATAGTTATCTCTAATTTTAATTAGTTTTTCGTGTATTTTTTGGCTTTCTTTACGTATTTTTAGATTTATGTCCTATATTAAATAATCCAAAAGTCACCTCCTTAAAGAAAAAATGTAAGTGCCTGTTTATAGTGCATTTATTGTTGAGATTAGTGCAAATGGTTAGTAGTATTTTAGTATATTCATTAGATAGTAGTAGTAATTAATTCATTCTTTGATTCTTTGTCTTGGGCCTTGAAGCCCACTTTGTAATTATTCAGCAGTCTTGTAGTGTTTTGGGCCATCTGTACATAGATGACCCACATGTATTAGAGACGGGGGTAAGTACGTTTTCATTCACACTTGATAAGTACACAATAAGAAAGATCCAAATTCTCTCTCTGAACCTTCTCAACCCTAGCCATGGATTCTTCACTTTTACTTCGAATCTCAGCTTTAACATAGTATCAGAGCTAAGATCCAGTTAGAGCTCGTGATTTCCTTTCATCCAATCTTACCCTTGAGGTTTTTCGTTGGAATTTTTCGTTTCCGATTCTCTTCGCTGAGGCTGAGCAATTTTGACGAAATTTCCAGTTTTTCGTCAAAGTTTTGCATTTTTGATGCTCATTCCTTTTATATTCTACTTCATCTCATCGAAAGCTTTGGATTTCCTCTGTTGATTTTCTCAGTTTCATCAAATTCAAGCCAAAATTAGGGTTTGATGTTCGTGTTGTCGCTTCCGCTTCGCGAAGGATTTTGGTAAACTTTCTTACCTGTAGACCTGCATCTTCTCGTTTTGCTTTCCATGAGGATGACTATACACATCCTTGTCACCCCCTGTATGTGCATCCTTCTGATGTGCTAGGAGCTTCTTTAGCTTCAGTGCCATTTGATGGCACTGGTTATGGGAGCTGGAGACGCACCATTCTAGTGGCTCTCTCTGTCAGAAACAAACTTGACTTCGTCAATGGAGTCTCTGTTAAAACCCCTGATGCCTCTCCTCTAGCGAGATAGTGGCAGAGATGTAATGATCTAGTGGTTTTGTGGTTAACCAACTCTTTGTCCAAGGACATAGCTCGTAGTGTTGAGTATTCTGAGCTTGCCAAAGACATTTGGGGAAAATTGGAACAGAGATATGGTCAGGCTAATGCTGCTAGAATTTTTGAACTCAAAAAGGAATTAGCCCATATCTCCCAACGGTCTCTTGATATTGCATCCTATTTCAATAAAATCAAGCAACTCTGGGATGAGATTGCTGCCTTATCAGTCACTAGAGTCAGGACATGTAGTAATTATGGTGCTAAGTCTGATTATCAGAAGGATGAGGATGTCCAAAAGGTTTACCAATTTCTGATGGGTTTAAATGATACATACATACAGACTAGGAGCAACATCTTCATGATTAAACCTTTTCCTTCTGTTAGCACAGTTTACAGCATCTTACTGTCAGATGAAAAACAGAGACAAGTTTCTACTTCTCCTCAGTTTCTCCCTAGTTCTGCTTCATTCAATGCTGGTGTATCCAAGCAAGTCTACCCTTCCAGAGTCAATTTTGATTCTTCCAAGTCTGCAATCTGTAAGTATTGCAAGAAATCAGGACATACCATTGACAAATATTACAAGTTGCATGGGTATCCTCCCAACTTCAAGTTTACTAAAGGGCCTCCTCTAAGGAAAACTGCTGCTCATGTTGAGTTGGAGCAAGATTCCTCTTCCAATGCTGTGGTTCCTGGTGGAAGGTCTCAATCTGATATCTCTTCTGAAAGTGTTTTTGACTCAATGGTGCCTGGTCTCACTAAGGATCAATATTCACAACTGATGATGCTTCTTCAACACACTCATATCTTTGATTTATCCTCAACTCCGAATATCATGGCTTCTGCCAATTTTGCTGGTAAGCTGATATCTGAGAGTGTTTTGCTCAAATCTTGTATGCTTTCTCAAGTAGATAGTTTTATTTGGATCATATATTCTGGAGCCTCCGATCACATGACATCCCATAAAGATTTGCTTTTCAATTTACAACCTTTACCAATTCCCTGCCTTGTCTCCTTACCTAATGGTTATAAGGTCAAAGTTCACCTTGTAGGATCATTGACTTTATTTCCTAACTTTATAATTCACCATGTCCTATATGTTCCTTCCTTCCAATACAATTTAATTTCTGTACATAAGTTGTTAGATCAATTCAATAGGATTGTCCTGTTTACCATAACTCTTTGTGCTATACAGGCCCTTTCACCGAAGATGCCTCTGGTGTTTGGTAAACTGGATCACAATCTCTACAAGCTTATTCTACCCCCTGTTGCTTCTAACACATCTGTTAATTCTTCTGTCATTCCCACTTCTTTTGTTGCTTCTTCTCTTATGCCTGATGTCTGTGTTTTTTCTTCTGAGATTAGTGCAAATGTAACTAGTGCTTGTTCTAATAAGAGACATGTACATGCTGATGCAAACATGAACAGTTTTAATAAAATGGATGTTGTTTGGCACTATAGACTTGGGCACATTCCTTTTTCTAGAATGAAACATATTCCTGCTCTTGCTCTATATTTTTCTCCCAAACAGTCATTTTCTTGCCCAGTTTGTCCCCTAGCAAGGCAAACCAGACTCCCATTCCCTGATAGCAGTATACAAACGACAAAGCCTTTTCAGTTAATATACATTGACACTTGGGGTCCTTATAATTCTCCCACTTATAATGGCTCAAAGTATTTTTTGACCATTGTAGATGATTTCTCTAGAGCCACTTGGACCCACCTAATGGGTGCCAAAAGTAATGCCTTTGACCTCTTAAAGGCTTTCATAGCCATGACTGAAATACATTTCCAGTTAAAAGTTCAAACTGTAAGAAGCAATAATGCCCTAGAATTAGGATCAAGCACTGTTGGTTCTGCATACTTCTCTGAGAAAGGGATCATACATCAAACATTATGTCCTCACACTCCACAACAGAATGGAGTTGTAGAAAGAAAACACAGACATCTCTTAGAAACTGCTAGGGCCCTTCTCTTTCAGTCTGGACTTCCCATTAGATTCTGGGGAGATTGCATTCTCACTGCCACCTATTTGATAAATAGGTTCCCTTCCAGTTTGTTAAAAGATAAAAGTTCCTATGAAATACTCTATAACAAACTTCCTGTTTATTCCAATCTTAGAGCCTTTGGATGTCTATGCTACTCTACTGTGCCAAAACCTCATAGAGACAAACTTCAACCAAGGGCTACCCCCTGTGTGTTTTTAGGATATCCCTTTGCAAAGAAAGGATACAAATTGTATGATTTGAAGCACCATACTTGTTTTGTTTCCAGGGATGTTACCTTTCATGAACATATATTCCCTTTCATTCAAACAACATCAAAGCATTCTCCCCTGTGTAACATGCCTCTTTCTGCCTGTTTCAACCATTCTCATCAATCTGACCTTTCTGAGCCTACTCCATTATACCATCCTTCCCCCAGTTTGCCAACAACTTCATTCCCTATTGATTCCTCTCCAATAGTTTTCACCATTAATCCCCTGCCTTCTCTTTCTCCCTCCTTGCCACCTGAGACCATCTCTTTCTCTATTTCCAGTGAAACAGTTTCTGTGGTTAGAAGGTCCTCCAGGCCTCATAACCCTCCTTCCTATCTCCAAAACTATGTATGCCATCTTACTTCCCAAAGCCTCAAATTTGCTAACTCCACCTCTGTCTCTGCTCTTGATAAGCATAATAATTTTGAGCCTAATATTTACTCACAAGCAGTATCCAATCTTGAGTGACAGAATGCCATGAAAAAGGAATTTGAGGCCTTAGAGGCCAATGAGACTTGGGACATTGTTGAACTTCCTTTAGGTAAGAAGCCCATTGGTTGTAAATGGGTGTATAAGATCAAATACAAAGCTGATGGGACTATAGAGAGATACAAGGCTAGACTTCTAGTTAGGAGGGACACTCAAGTTGAAGGGATAGATTTTCATGAAACTTTTTCACCTATTGTAAAGATGTCCACTGTTAAAACTTTAATTGCTGTGGCTGTTAAAAAGAAATGGCCTTTGTTTCAATTAGATGTCAACAATGCCTTTCTACATGGAGATTTGGATGAGGAAGTCTTCATGAAACTTCCACCTGGCTTGTCTGTTTCTTCCTCTTCTTCTTCAGCTCCTCTAGTTTACAAACTCAAAAAGTCCTTATATGGGCTAAGGCAAGCTTCTAGACAGTGGTATACCAAGTTGTCAACTGCTTTGAATTCTAGAGGATATGTGCATTCTTTGAATGATTATTCTTTGTTTACTTGGGGTTTTGGAGAGTCTTTTGTCATTTTGGTTGTGTATGTGGATGACATAATCATCACTGGGACTGATTTAGCTGAGATCTCTACTGTGAAAGCTTTTCTCCATGATCAGTTTAAGATTAAGGACTTAGGCAACCTTAGTTACTTCTTGGGGATTGAGGTGCTGCACACTGAGTTTGAGGTTTTACTTCATCAAAGGAAGTTCGTTCGTGACCTTCTCAAGGAATTTCATTCTTTTGACTGTTCCTCTGTGGTTTGCCCTCTTGAGATGCATGAAAAGCTAAAGGCCACTGAAGGTGATGTGTTGCCTAACCCTAAGAGTTACAAATGTCTGATTGGGAAGTTGAATTTCCTCACTCACACCAGGCCTGACATCCCATTTGTAGTACAACATCTAAGTCAGTTTATGCAGCAGCCCTGCCTCCCTCATATGCAGGCAGCTCTACATCTGCTGCGTTATCTTAAAGATACCTCTGATTTTGGTATATTCCTCAATGATTCTCCTGATTTTTCTTTAAATGCTTACTGTGACAGTGATTGGGGGGCCTGTCCAGATAGTAGGAAGTCTGTATCTAGATTTTGTATGTTGTTGGGAGGAAGTTTAGTAGGGTGAAAATCAAAGAAGCAGTCTGTAGTTTCTTTATCTTCTGTAGAAGCAGAATACAGGTCAATGAGCAAAGCTACTGCTGAAATTACATGGGTTTCTCGGCTCCTTTCTGATATTGGTATTCAAGTTCCTCGTCCAATTCCACTTTTCTATTATAATCAAGCAGCTATACATATTGCTAAGAACCCAGTTTTTCACGAGCGCACTAAACATATCGAACTTGATTGTCATTTCATCAGAAGCAAGCTCACTGAAGGACTGATTCAATTGCTTCATATCTCCAGTGCAAACCAGTTTGCTGATATGTTCACTAAGCCCTTGACAGGGGCTGTTCATCATGTTCACCTTCGCAAGTTGGGGATTATCTCACCCTCCAACTTGCCGGGGGGTGTTGAGATTAGTGAAAATGGTTAGTAGTATTTTAGTATATTCAGTAGATAGTAGTAGTAATTAATTCATTCTTTGATTCAGCAGTCTTGTAGTGTTTTGGGTCATCTGTACATAGATGGCCCACATGTATTAGAGAAGGGGGTATATACATTTTCATTCACACTTGATAAGTACACAATAAGAAAGATCCAAATTCTCTTTCTCTGAACCTTCTCAACCCTAGCCATGGATTCTTCAGTTTTACTTCGAATCTCAGCTTTAACATTTATCATGTTAAAACATTCACTGTTATCTCTAATGTTAATGTTAATTAGCATCTATGGCTTTTCGTATTCCACGCGTTAACATCTTTCAAAATAAATTTGGTGCTTATTGAGCAATGCAAGTATATCATTATGAAAATTCGCAGAAGAAATTCCTCCACTGTTATCGACAACCAAAAGTAAAGGCATGATCAGGAAGTTCAAAAAGAAATGAACAAAGTTGTTCAACGAGGGAATTGATAACCAAGAAGTTTCAAAAATAAGAATACAACCAAAATCAAAGATCTTCCAAAAAGATCCCAAAAGAGCCTAAAAAAAGAAGTATCGACGATCAGTGTCCTAAATTGGAATATTAGAGGGATGAAATCCCAAGCTGCTACTGAGAGAGTCACTTCACTTATTCAAAGACACAAAATCTCATTATTAGCTATTCAAGAACCATTTGTGGGAGAATCCAACATCAATCACTACATCAGGGGGTTTTGGCATGGCAGATTGCTTTTCCAATACAAATAACAAGATTTGGCTCTTCTGGAATAGTGATATCAATTGTGAAATTTTGAAGAATGATGAATAAATTGTCAATTGCAAGATTATGCATAATACTATTGATTCACCCATGTACATTTCTATTGTATATGCTAAATCTACTATCAATGAGAGGGAAGAGTTCTTATGGGATGAAATGAGAAATTTTGGTGTTTCATGAGTAGTTCCATGGGCAGTTTGTGGAGACTTTAATACCATCACAACTCAAGAGGAAAAGAAAGGAGGCAATCCTTTTAACATAAGGGAGAGCTGTTAGAAGCTCACACTGAGCTCATACAAAAGGTTTCAATGGAGGAAACCCTAGCTATACAGTAAAGAGAAAAGGGAAAAGGAGACTTTCGTATAAAATGAAATGTTTCATTCATAATCCATGACCTCTTATTCCAGCAATACAAGTATTTATACTTGTGTTACAATGTGGCTATATTTACAAAGCTAAAGATGGCTAAAGAATAGAAGAGCTAAGTTGCTATATCTGTGTGTTATGATGTGGGCCGTTGGGATATCAGTGGGCCTGGTCTGAGGGAGTCCAGACTTAAGGCCCAACTGCTCAACACCCCCCAAGCTTGGGGGTGATAACACTCCAAGCTTGCCTAGTAGATGATGGTGAGAGAGGCCTGTAAGGGGCTTGGTCATGATATCAGCCAATTGATCAGCACTTGCAACATAATGAAGGGAGACCAAACCAGAAGTAACACTGTCATGCACATAATGGCAGTCAATCTCGATGTGTTTTGTGCACTCATGAAAGACTGAATTCTTAGCAATGTGTAGAGCAGCCTGGTTGTCACAAAAAATAGGAACAAGATGAGTAATAGAAACACCAAAATCAGCAAGTAACCTGATTAACCATGACACCTCTGCAACTGCTTGTTGAAGGGCTCTATATTCAGCCTCAGCAGAGGATAGTGATATAGTTTGCTGCTTCTTTCTCTTCCAGGAAATAGGGCAGCCACCAAAAGTGATAAAATAACCAGAGACAGACTTCATGGACATGGCACAAGCTGCCGAGTCTGAATCAGAATAAGCCTTGAGAGTAAAGTCAGCACCAGGGGAGAGGAGAATACCCATAGCTGGGGCAGCAGATAAGTATCGTAGAACATGGATAGCAGTAAGCATGTGAGGGACTTGAGGAGCTTGGAGGAATTGACTCAGATGTTGTACTGAGAAAGCAATGTCAGGTCTTGTGTGTTGTAGAAAATTAAGTTTGCCAACTATTTTCCTATAAGTACTAGGATCAGATAGTGGCTCCCCCATATCAGTTGAGAGTTTGACAGAACCATTGAGAGGAGTGACCACAGAGGAAACATTCTGGCAATGAAACTCTGAAAGTAAATCAGATGTAAATTTGTGTTGAGTCATAAGAAAACCAGTATCAACTTTAGTGACTTCCAAGCCCAAAAAATAGTGAATAGATCCAAGGTCCTTGATTTTGAACTGAGCATCAAGGAAAGCCTTGACATTATCCAGCTCAGAAACATCATCACCAGCTAGAAAGATGTCATCAACATAAATAGCTAGGACTGTGAGGGAACTGCCAGTGGACTTGAGGAATAAAGAATAGTCATTTTTACTAGGATTGTAGCTTCTACTGAGCAAAGCCCCAGACAACTTAGAAAACTACTATCTAGAGGCCTGCTTGAGGCCATATAGACTTTCTTAGCTTGCATACCAATGGAGAAGATGAAGAGGAAGATGTAGAGGAAAGGTGCAAACCAGGAGAGATCTTTATATAAATTTCTTCATGGAGATCACCAAGTAAAAAGGCATTGTTGACATCTAGTTGATAAACAGTCCAATTCCTTAAAGCAACAATGGTAAGAAGGCACTTAATGGTGGTGAATTTGACCACAGGGGAAAAGGTCTCATTGTAATCAGTGCCTTCTTTTTGAGTGTCACCCCTTATCACTAATCTGGCCTTGTACCTTTCAGTGGAACTATCAGACCTTTGTTTCATCTTGTAGACCCATTTATAAGGTATAAGTTTCTTGTGAGGGGGAGGAGGAACAATATCCCAAGTGTGATTTGCATCTAAAACTTGGAATTCCTTTAGCATGGCTTCATTCCAAGCAGGGTGATATATAGCCTGTTGATAAAACTGGGGCTCATGCATGTGCAAAACAGAGGAAGAGACCTTAAAGCTAGAGAAGCATGAGCCTTAAGAGCAAGAGATGGACAAACATAATCCCTTAAATGGGGTGGAAGATTATTGATCCTGGAAGATTGTCTGATAGGGAGAGAAACAAGAGGAGCAAGGGGGATAAGAGGTGGAGAAGGAGAAGGAAGATCAGTGGTAAAGGGAGGAGAATGAGGAAAAACAGGAGGAGGAAAAATGGAAGGAGGAGGATTGTTAGGTAAATCTACAAAAGGAGTAGGAGAAGAAGGAAAAATTTGTGAAGAAGGAGGTGAATAAGTAAATACATGCTCATGAAATACAACATCCCTAGAATAGAGGATAGCATGGGTGGAAAGAGTTAGCAACTTGTAACCTTTCTTGCCACAGGGATAGCCAAGAAAGATACAAGGCAGTGCTCTTGTCTGAAACTTGTCTCTTCCAGATTTGGGTGTGGTGGCATACATAAGCATCCAAAAGATCTAAGATGATTATAGTGAGGAGGATGACCTTGCAATTTTTCATAGAGGAATATGTTGTTGAGAACATTGGAGGGAAATCTATTG